CTTTACCGGATAAAGTAAAGTTGATCTACTTTACTTTATCGAGTAAAGTAAAGTAGATCTACTTTACCCGAAAAGTAAAGTAAAGTGAAGTATCTCTAACTTTATCGAACAAGCAAAATATAGTAAAATAAGATTAAGAAAAGCATGTAGTTGATGGTTATTCATTTCTTAGTTTATTATCATACATTAATCACGCTTTAATATATCAAAAGTTGCGTGGAATTACGGATGAGAAGCCCCAAATTGTTTAAACCTGATTTTATTACTTTGAAAGTCAACATCGAACTCTCAATATTCTTCACAATTCTGTATTTCACATGGTCACAACTCAAATTTTGATACTTGAGGTCCCCTCAGGTATCGAAAAAACAATTCTCTGGCTATTCAATCACAAGTCTTTGTAATTCAATAGCATGAAATGTGCAGATTATGTATATCTCATTTATTTTTAGAAAGTACTCAGATAATATGAAAGATCCGAAGCACTCCCTGGTATCATGAAGATCTTTTTTTTTGAACAGGTTCATGAAAATCGTACCGAATTCGTTACAGCGAACTTAAAATAAATTTGACTTGACGAAAACTTTCTATTTTAACCACACACTCGTTGAGAAAACCTTTTCGTAACTAATTTTTATGAAATTTGGAGTATTCAACGGGGTAGCACAAGGATGACTTTGGCGTTAACTCATGCAATCTACCTGAAACTTTTTATAGGTAGATCAGAGGTGATATTCCATCAATAATCTACTCAAGCAACTGGTTTGAGTTATGGGTGGCCCATGGAGACACTAAAGCAGTGAGTACCCGTATCAATCCAACTGAGTTAACATCTCTAACTCGCACATGTTGACTTAGTTCTATGTTTTATTCACAGATATAACAGTTGTCTAAGGTCAAATGGGATTTTTATATTCGAGATCTACAGAATATTAGTCAAGCCAGAGGCAAGCGGGATCGTAAGGATGGGGTTTTGAGCCAAAAACGATTTTACAGATTCGAGATTTTCAGTCTAAAATGGTGCCATCAGAAAGAGCACATTCAATTGCACGTTTGGCGAAGCTATTCGACAACTGCAGCTATGGATACTCTAGTTTTGTAGGGCTAAAAACTGTGAGGGATAATATCATCCAATCGAGATAGTATGTGCCATTTATCGTAGAAAAAAAATCAAACATTCAATGGTTTCTTATATTTGCTCATCAAGACGTCAATTCTGCAAAAAACAAACTTATTTTCGACAAGATAGAACCATGTTTTAGTGGAATTTCTGGACACTGCTAGTTTTTAAAGGAGTTAGAGTATTTCCGGTCTTTCTTATAGTCTGAGCACTCTTCGAAGGTTATATAGACAGTTGAATCTTCAACGTTTCAACGTCAATGTTTGAGTTACACATTTGGGTTCTGGGTGTCTGAACCTTCTAATAATTGAACTTTGGACAGTTGAGCCTCTTTACTTTTGACCCTCCTGCATTTCACTCTTGTCCAGTGAGTAAAATGTCTACGTGAACTTATTTGAAACTGTTTGGAAAAGTACTCTTGAACCAATTGTAGCAGTGAGTATGCAGGTGTTAGTAAAGCGTGGAGTCGGGATGTACGGAGATGGGGGCTGAATCGAGAATCTTGGTCTCGTTCATTCTCAACCGAGACTGACCGAGACCGAGCCTCTCGGTCTCGACACGTCCCCAGTGTGGGGGTACCGGTAGGTATCGGTGGACGTTAGTGTGAAGAGTGAGAGTGAGTGATAGAAAGAACAACATCCACATCTGTAACCATACTCGTCAGTATTTTATTCAGGAAGTGCCCAAGGGAGCTGCGTTCCCACAAAAATCGAGTTCGCTCTCCGACACTCGCGGAAGTAACTATGTACTTGCCCTCCTGAAAATAATTTTTCGCTTCCAGAAATTGCAAATCGCTCCTCCGGGGAAACAGACTTGGATAAAACACTGCTACTCATACCCACAATCCACATTCACACCAACATCCCACACCCACAGTTCACATTCACATCGGCATTCACACCCTACGACCGTTTACATCGCACCCTCTAGCTATAATAAATATTTCATGTAGTTAGTGGTTTGACTTGAAATGTGAAGAGGCCCAAAAGGCAACAACTCCGACCGTCAAGACACTGAAATGTCTAGGGCTCTAATGTGTAGACTCAGCTATTGACGCTCAAATGTTGGAGCCTCAACTGTCTTGCCACTTTCCAAAAATAAATGAGATATACATAATCTGCACATTTCATGCTATTGAATTACAAAGACTTATGATTGAATAGCCAGAGAATTGTTTTTTCGATACCTGAGGGGACCTCAAGTATCAAAATTTGAGTTGTGACCATATGAAATACAGAATTGTGAAGAATATTGAGAGTTCGATGCTGACTTTCAAAGTAATAAAATCAGGTTTAAACAATTTGGGGCTTCTCATCCGTGATTCCACGCAACTTTTGACATATTAAAGCGTGATTAATGTATGATAATAAACTAAGAAATGAATAACCATCAACTACATGCTTTTCTTAATCTTATTTTACTATATTTTGCTTGTTCGATAAAGTTAGAGATACTTCACTTTACTTTACTTTTCGGGTAAAGTATATTTACTTTACTTTACTCGATAAAGTAAAGTAGATCAACTTTACTTTATCCGGTAAAGTAAAGTAGGATTACTTTACTTTACCCAGTAAAGTAAAGCGTTTTGCTTTACTTTACTTTACTTTAATAAAGTGAAATAAAGATAAAGTGCCACCCCTAGTCGAACCATAAGCAAACGTACATTGAATGGGTGATCAGGAAATCAATTTCTTTATGCTGCCTCACTGAGCGTTTGAGAAATATTCCGATGAACATCATTCTATTATCAATGAGATATTAGTTCAAATTTATCAATCGGGAAGAGCTTTCATCCTGTTTTGCTCCACGTCCCCTCTCTCACAGAAGAAAAATATTTACATTCAGTCTGCTACATCGAACGATGATCCAACGCAGGTGGAAGAGAAATGGTCGATTGTGGTGATTCGTCATTCGTTTCTAATCCGTCAGTTCTGCGACAATGTTCAGTTTACTCGGCCCGTGAGTGAAATCGATGAACAAGAAGCAGAACGAATACGAACCAACGAAAAAATAAAATGTGTTTAATGTAACGGCTACTATATTGAAGAAGCACAGGCTGTGCAGCAAGCAGCTATCGCGAGCGCTCTGATGACTACTGAACAGAAAGAACGTGCTGAACGGGTGAAACAACGATTCAAATATATCTATTACAATCGAACTATATAAGCGACAGGCACAGCACGGAAAATATCACACAGGTTCAGTGGAACCGTGTATGTTGCCAAGAAGAAGCAGAGATGTATGTGGCTATAGCTTTTAAACAGAATTAGAAGGCGGTGAATAGATGAGCCTAAACGAGATAGTATACATACGTGATACTGTCTCTGAGTATATTCTCTTATCATACACTTTCATCTTACGTTTGATTCGTTTCAGATAAGCGCATCATTTATTTTTACCTGCGGTGAATCAATTATCATTCATTCTTGAATTCTGCGGACGGCGTGGGCTTTTATTCAGGTAAAAATTTTTGTCTAATTCTGAGCTAGGACTCTTTCATTATTATGTGTGCATGCCTTCGGAAGATGAAAGTCGTATAGCTTTATAAAAAAATCAAGTTTTCATGTAGACTAATCACTCTTCTATCCCCACACACCCTCGGAATCTTCAGGGTGTGGAAGTGACTGTGTGGAGGCTGTGGGTGGAGCAATCATAATGTTAACATTTTATCTTAGCAACGAAGATCATCAGATGATGTCGTTTCAATTCTCGAAAGAATCAAAACAGAGTTAAGGGTGAGGGAGAGGTGAGAGATAATGGTGAGCTTGCAAAGAACTGATTCAAAGCATTATAAGGCACATTTCGAACCTTGCTCAGAGGTTCATCATCAGATATGTTTTAAATCGTCGAGTTTTACATGGTCATTCAAAAGAATAGCTTGAATTGAAACGAAAACGATTCATTATAGAGGTCAAAGAAGACATCTAAGACGACTAAAATTTCAAATCAATAAGGGTTAAAACATTCGAAGGTAATTTTGTAGCTAACACAAACTATGAGTTGAGTTTGCAAAGAACTGATCGAAAGTATCATAGGAGTAGAAGGTGCGGGTGAACGCGAAATGTTGAGACTGATTGAGCTGTCGACAAGATTTTCTGATTCAAAACTGAAAATTTTTGGGAAAAATCGGCTTTGTCTTTGAAGAAATTTGAGGAAGAAAATGAAGAAAATGAATGATTTGTCGGTATGAAAAATGAGGATATTTTGAAGGTTTCTGAGTATTTGATCGGTATCCGTGCAAACTCATCTAGAACTATGGATCTCTGTGAGGATGTAGTCGCGTCTTGAGAGTGTAGCCTCCTCTTGTGTGTGTTGGCTACGAAATTATATTCCAATAGTTAAATGCTTATTTATTTGAAATTTTATTTATGTTTGACGTCTTCTTTGACCTCCATAATGAATCATTTTCGCTTCAATCCAAAGTGTTCTTTTGAATGACTATATAACACTCGATGATTCAAAACATACCTGATGATGAACCCTGGAGCAAAGTTCGAAACATGCCTTATGATGCTTTGAATCGGTTCTTTACAAACTCATCCACACTAGACGACGCTATAAATTGACGCCTCTGGAGAAATAAGAATCATCAAAGAAGAATCGTTTTTCAGAGACGAGCCAGTGTTTTTGGTCATTATTGCAAGTAAATATTCGATTAGTCAGTGATCCTCGTGAGCGAGAAATAATGTCGAGAAGAAGAAATGTTCAACAGCATAACTTATCGGATGTCACATCAAAAAATGATGCAGCAAGTTCTTTATCGAATTCATCATCATCAGTGAATAATTACAATCCAATTGCTATGATCAACAAGGAAATTAACACCGAAGACTGTCGTCAACTACTAAAGAAAGTCGACACAATGCGAGAGATCTTACAGATGGAAAAGATTTCACTTCCACAAATCGTTGTTGTTGGCGATCAATCGGTAGATCCGATTGGTTCGTATTTTAGATCAACACTCAAATCTTTCATTTAGGTAGGAAAATCATCGATACTCGAGGCTATCAGCGGTGTTGAACTGCCACGAGCACAGAATATTTGCACACGCTGTCCACTAGAATTGCGTATGAAACGCGCTCCGCCTGATACGGAGGACTACGCCACGATTCGATGCACTGGAATCAACGAAGTGATTATCAACGATCTCTCGGAGATAACTGCCAGAGTGATCGAATGCACGAACTTTTTGACTGGCAACTTGATCAATATTTCAGCATTGCCTATTTTTCTCACGGTTTATAAACGAGAGATTCAAGACGATTTAACATTGATTGATTTACCAGGTCAGAGTTCTGTTGATTGACAATAAAAGAAAATTGAGTTTTGTTGAATTATTCTAGGAATCACTCGGACTCACGTGGAGGGTCAGTCACCAACGATTTATCGAGATATCGTCTCACTAATCGAAGACTGTGTCAAGTTTGAATCAGTGGTTGTTTTACACGTTATTCCATCATCGGTCGATTTCACCACATCAGAATCGATCAAAATTTGTCAACGATACGATCCGAGATGTATGAGAATTTTATTCCATGAAATCGAATCTTTACTAATTGATTTTTTTAGATGAACGACAAATCATCGCCGTATCGAAAATCGACAAACATGACAAAGGCATTGCAGAGAAATTGCAAGGAATCGGATCTGGATCGCTATCTCTTCCGTTGGGTTGCGTTGCTGTTCTCAATCGGAAACAAGAGGAAATTGATGCAAAAGTTCCGTTTGAAGAAATGAGACGACGTGAAGAAGAATTCTTTCAAGCCAATCCAGCTTTCGCTGATGTACCTAAAGAATACTTGGGTAGGCAAGAATTAATCAAAAAATTAGTTTCAATTCAACAAGATAGGATTCGATGTACGTTGCCACACGTGATCGAAACGCTCAAAGCAAAACTTCAAGCGATGCGAGCAGAACTTAAACAAATCCCAGCAGCAATTTTAACAGAAACGGACACTAGAATTGCTTTCAATGAAATTCTCCGAAACTATCGCAGAGCTGTTGAACAACGTGCGAAAGGTGACTATGAAATCAAATCTGAAAAAAAGATGGAGGCGTTCAATCCGCAAGCGCGTGATAAATGGGACGATCGAATCGCCTATCATCTCAAGATGATCGGAAAAAGCACTTCGGATGAGATCCAACAGATTTTGTCGGGATTATCTTCACAAGATCAGAGAGCTCAAGTACTACAATCAATCGAGGAAAATTATGGCGGTGGTTTACCGAACTTTCCATCATCAAATATTATTCAACAGCTGTATCAGCCGTACCATAAAAAGCTTGAAAAGCCGTGCAAAGATCTGGTTCTTTGGGTCGAAGATTACATGATCAATTGTCTTGTTTACATTTTGCGCACAATTTTACCTGCAGAGGCCAACTACAAAGAGCCTCTGTCCCGTGAGTTGAATAAAATAATCAAGAGTATTATAGCAAACAGTAAAGAAAAGTGCATGGAAAACATCGAGCAGATGTTGGAAATGGAAGAGAAGGTCTTCACGATCAATCCGTACTACTTGGCGATCTTCAAGAATTTGAAAGAAAAAGAAAGTTAGTCAAATCTCCATTAAGGTATGAATTCAAAATTTCCCGTACTATTCTGTTTGTAGACACATCGAGCAATGACCTGACGCTTCATGATGTTTCGATTGGCCTTCGAGCCTACTGTTCAATTGTTCACGCTCGCATTGTCGATCATCTGTCTCAACTTTGCGAGTACTGGTTCATTCGCAATGGTGCACTGATACTTGATGGGAAGTTGAATACGGCATTTTCTCCTGCGGAATTGCTGAAGTATATGAAGGAATCACCGTTATTAGAGCAGAAGAGAGCTAATTTGCGTCGAAGCATTGAAGCGATGGAGAAAGCCTTGGCCGCAGCAGAAAGAGAATAAAGAACAAATTCTTTTTCTTCGAAGAAATAAACTTTTAAAACTTTCATCCGACTTTAAGGATGTGAATAACGTTGCACGGTAGTCATCAACGCTTTGTCAAAAGATGGGACGATGTCTAAGAAAAAGACCCACCATCCTCTGCGGCAGGGTGTAGGTGTCTGGATGTGAATGTCGGATGTGGGCGTATATGGGGTGCAGGCGTGGGTTTGGGGTGTCAGTGTAGGGAATGGGTGCGGGTGTGTGAGCGTTGGATGTGGGTGGATATGGGAGGCAGGTGCGGGTGTGCAGTGTGGGTGTAGCTGTGGAGATGGGTGTGAGTGTAGGTGTACTAGTGTGTGCTTGCTGAAGAAAAGACTCACACCCACATCCACTCACACCCTATTATTAAATAATGATTACCGATGAGATGAGATTTTTTTAATGTGTACCTTAATTCCTGTGTTTTAAATGCATTCTGTTTACTGCTGTATCTCACAATTAAAATTCGCTATCGACAAACACAAAGTGCACTAGAATATTGCTGAGATTCGTCTTTCAATACTTGTAAATCAGATCGGTCTAGTTTTTTGTTTGAAAAAGCAGTCTGGAAAATGAAACATTCTAACATAGTTTAAAATTTTCCCTTCCATTTATTATGATGAAAGACTAATTCGGAGCAACACTAAAAATGTCTTTTCAACTTGATTTTTCGGTCTACTCGGTTGATACTTTTACGGTATTGTCTGAGACGACAGCTGTTGTGAGAAGTGTGGGTGTGAGTGAGGATATAGGTGTGGGATGTGATATTCAGTTACATCTATATATACACGCACATCCACACACAATCGTAAATGATTATATAACTGCTATTAATAGTCAGCAGTCGACCAACTCGCATATTACTACTAATAATAATACGCCAAGATTTAATGCAAGAACTTTGTATTTCAATACAAAACAATCTATCAAAAAAAAAATACTTGACAAATCGTCCGTTCGATGAGAACAAAAACTACGCGTATATTCTCAGTTTTCTTTTGATATTTAACCGAGGAAGAAACAGCGAACTTCAAGACTTCAAGAGACTTTAGCAATAAAGACTTCAGAAAATTTTTGGATCCGACGCGCTCTAACCTACGCCCTCAATCAAAGAATATCAGTGCCGTACCGTGCTGATGTGAAACAAGATCTGCTACATGGTACAAAGCCTTTTTCTTCTGTACAAATGTAGCACGATAGTCATTATTCATTAGTGGCTTTTTGATACTTATTATGCTTTGTATCTAACACTCTATGCGAAGTACAACTTTTTCTCCGTACTGTATGAGAATGTGGGTGTCGGTATATTTTATCGCTCACCCACACCCACACTCTGAGTAACTTGAATATTACTTTTAATGATTGATGCTATAAGTTAGTTATGTTCATTTTTCTTTAACTTCAAAAATATATTTGAAATACAACATTAGCCAGTTCACAATCATGCAAATGAAAGAAAAGGATAAAATTGATATAACAGTTTGTGTGTATTTGATAATTGGATACAACATGATGATAACCTGATTCAGATCCGTCCAAAGAATGTTTCCTAGGAAGAATTTAATGCATATTTTTAGAAAATTATTAGTCATACGTACTGTCGATTGGAACTAAAAAGAAGAAACATTTGAAATTGAAAAGCGGGGAAATTTCGACAAAAAATGCATCAATCTATTATCTTACGAATAATATTTTGTCCCTTTTCGTGTTACTGTCATTTTGAAAGATACTAATATAAACCTTCGTTTCATTTCTGCATCATACGTGCTGTATGTGATCAGATAAAAGAATATCTTGAGTGTACTGATGACGAAATATTTTATATCACATTATACAAGTATAAGCAATACAATATATTAACAGCAAGGTCAGTCAAGTATATCTGAATAAACAAAAGATAAAGCACATATATAAAAACAAAATTAATACTTATTACATTTTTTTTTGAGAAAGTTTTAAAAAGTTTAAGCGAAATTTTTCAAACGAAATAATTCAAGATTATGATATATAATACAGAACTTTTCAAGCAATTAATCTAAAACATACAATTAATTTTTGTCAATACATTTTCAAGTTTATTATAGATTGTTAAATGTTTATTCATAAACTGTTTATTTATTTTTTTGTGTCTGCTATGAATGTATTGCGATGAATTCGTTCTACATTAAAGTTCCAGCATAAAATAAAGATTATAAACTACAATGAATTACAATATTTTTCAAGTATATTCTAGAAAGTAAAATTTATAATGATGAGAAACTTCGATATAGATATGTAAAGAAATATCAAAATGAAAAACTTTACGTCTATGAATTTTTTCAACAATGAATTTAATGAGGAAACCTTTTCACAGGTCTCCTGCTGATTTCAATGGTTTTTTTTTGCCTATAAATACCACATAGTGTTCTAATAAAAACTCTTAAAGGATTTTTGAGATTGGACTAAGCTATCAAGTTTTTTTTCTAAAAGTTTCAAGTTTTCGGAAAACTTGTATTTTTGAATCATGATCTTAAACTTTGTCCATATAGAGAACTCAACTAGAGTAACTTCTTTAAAAAAAATTCACAAGTTTTGAAAAAAGTCTCTTCGAGATACGAAGCTTTCAAAAAGTGCATGTAGTATACAGGATGGCTCAAAAGTCTCTGAGAAGTTTTTGATTGGGAATAACTTTTGATAGAAACAAGAAAGAAAGCTGAAGAGTGGAATGTGGTTGTAAACGAAAGAAAGAACAGTACCCATACCCACATTCTCCCTTGTATGTCTGCCAAAAAAACAAATAGTTCGCATTGATGGTTTGTTTCTGAAGAGATATCAAACGCTAAAGATCTCAACGAAACGAGCTTGTATAGAGAATTTCAGAATTTTTGTATCGAGTCTTTCAGAAATATAAGGCTTTCAAAAATAAATCTTGTATAAATTATCTATGGAAAAAGGCTTTTACTTTGAAAATTTCATGTCTTGAAAAGATTCGGTTCAAAAGTTCGAAAATTTTTTATCCAAGCTTGTACAGTTGAGATCTTTAGTTGGGTAAAGCTTCAGATCGAAATTCGAAAATACGGTGGTTCTACAAAAGTGACATCTTACAATGAAAATTCAATAAAAACGTTTGATATCTCTTCAGAAACAAATCATCAATATGAACTTGTGTTTTTTGGTAGACATAGTTAATTAATATCTATAAGATGTATCAAGTTCCGAATGATGAGTAAATTGGCACTTGTAAATATTCCTTTGTGAGTATCGTACAAAAGAGGTCTACAAGTTTACTTTGAAGAATTTTTGCATTAGATTTTAGTTTTTTCTTATCATCATTATTATTAATTAATTCAAAATCCATTGAATATTTTCTTCATTTTTTTTATTAAGAATTTTTCGACTATTTTTCGTTCGACCAATTTTCGTAGGCCCGTTGGCTACCTAGTATATCCTATCTTTTTCCTGGCCCTATTAGAAATAACTGTTGAGCTTAAAACAGTCTAATTATATTAAAAAAAAATGAGTGAATACAATCGCCTTTCAACTTCAAAGTGCCTACCATTTAACTAATTGACCGACTACAGAGATGCAATCAGTAACGGTACGGGTTTTAGACCGACTAATCCGGTTCGATCTGAGTTAATTAGACTAGTTCATGTAAGACCCACACCCACACCCAAGATAATAATAATTTATCGAGGGAAATTATCGGTAATATTTTACGAAATGACGAAACTATACGTCATTTAGCTTGATATGAATGTTTATCATCTTCATTCCCATTTCTATAAGATAAAATATCATCCTGATATGCAACAGTAAAAATTTGAACCTAAAAATAAATTTTCTTCGTATGCTTAGAAAAATAATAAAAAATTTCAATTTTTATGTCAAAGAAAGTAATAGAGAATAAAAACGATAGAAAAATTTATATATACTCTAGTGAAAATACTTAAACAGATTGCAGTTATGTAATAAAGAAAAATGATATAAGATAATGGACAATATGAATAAACTATTTTAACGACTTATTTAGTTTGTCTTCTATTCTTTGTTGCGAACTCATTTTAGACAGATAATTTTATTTTTTGTGTTTTTTTTATACATTATCAAAAGACCTGCAAATAGTTATGAATGAAAAAAAAATGTCAATTTGATTTTTTTTTGTGCAGTAATCAACACCGCATATTTATTGAACAATTTGTTTTTCATTTTTCTTTATTTGGCTATGCTCAGTCTGTGTTTTATTGTGCTTTTACTTGATGAGGTAGAGATGAAGACATCATCATTAATGGAGAATGTGAGACATATACCTTTCTTTTGGTATCATGAAAATAAGATTTTTGTTTATTTTTAAAAGATCAAAGAAAAAGTATACAACAGATATGGAATTGTTGGATAGAAATGATTGTTCATAATACGAAATTAGATATCATGAAGTTACACAATTGTTTGTCAATTAAATATTTTATTAAAAATAAAGAAATATTTTATAATTCTTCTCTAACGATGAAGATTTCTCTATACCTATTGTTTGTTTTAAAACAATGTAAAGATAAAATGATAGCTATAGTTCTCAAATATTCATCATATATGTCTGTATCTTTTGTTATATAGTTTTATTTCTAAATAAAATAATATACGCCAATACTAAACAGAATATAGGCTTATGAGTATTTTACATAAAACATTAGAATACACAAACACCATATAGGAGTACTCACGAAACATTCAGGAT